GTGCGTGCCGGTACTGTACCTACAGCAGGCAAGCTGAGATTTGCTACCGAGGTGCATATCTGCGCTATACCGCACGCCGCCGCCCGTCGCCCGCCGGTGGCTTCGCTTCGGTGCGTGAATGTTGATGAGAATCAAATTGATCAGTCATTGGTGATTCACCATTATTAATTAATTGCATCGGCTCGCGCGCATCCACTCAAGACTCACATTTTGATCACTTGCGAGTTGCGACTCACGACTCTTTTCAGCGACGAGTCGCCGTGAGACCGTCTGCAGAGACGTTTGAATTCAAAATCGTGTCTTTGCGGTACCATGCACCTCTCGACCCTTCGCCTCGTCGCTGCTGTGGGCTACGGCGGCATAGCTAGCCATGCAGCGTCTCATGGGCCTCTTTGTCTATGAACCACCGTTGACCCTCCCAAGTGGTGAGTGAGCCTTCGTGGATCCTGGCCCTGCATGCCAAAACACAACCAACCACCTTCCCCCTCTCCACATTGCACGGCCCGTCGGGTATCAGCATGTACTACGTCGGATCGCCATTCATCACGGTACGCCCTGGCGCAATTCATTGAAACTCATCGACGACAAAGATTGCCATACCACTCTCCTTTTTTCTTGACACTGCGACGCAACGGCTCGTGCGCATACACTCGCCATCTTTTGATTCTCTTTTCCCTTTCACGATTTGCGGCCCGCCTTGGGAAGCGTTGCTTTCTCGTCCGGTCTTTTGCCCGGCTCTTCGTTCAGCTCTCCAGACGTCAAATACCGGACGTCAGCTGTGCTGGTTGCGCTGAACAGCCTGTCGCCATCGCCAACATTCAAGACAATTACTCTCGCCAACGCCAACGCCCTCGGCGGCGGCGGCGTCTATCGCACGTCAACAAACACTCTTCTCATCACATGGCCCATTCCGGCCACACGTCAGCTTGATCCTCGTTCAAACTTCGCTCGAGTGACGCCTCAACGTGAGAGGTCGTCTGGAAGACCATACAAGGTTCGCAGCTTTTCCAGCCGTACATATGCCGGCCTACGCACCCTAGCAAAACGTCCCCCTCCCCAAACGTCCTCACTTTTTACGACGCACCTCTGAACTCCCAACTCGACATCTTCTCCAACATGAAGGCTTTACGCTTGATGCGCCGCAAGTCGTTCGGCGAGGATCGGGCCAAGCGCGAAGGTCACGAAGCACCGCCCGCGATGGCCCCTCCCATGCCCACTCACCAGCAGCGGGACTTTGGCACACTCAGACCTCCAGCGCACTCCAACACCATGCCAGACATTCGATTCAGCGGATTCGACTTTGACAATCTCATACATGATGCTACCAAGAGGGCTACGGCCGATACCAACTTCGCACCGCGCACGGGCGCGTGGAACAAGAGCAGCACGCTACCTTCTTCTCCTCATCAAGGAAGCAGGTTGAAGAAGTACTCCCCACCGCCCAACTTGGCTTCTCAGCAGGCAGTTCAGATGCATGTGCACGCT